ATTCAGGCTGAGGAACGGAATTAAAGACCTGGCATAGTTCAGGCGATTCCACTTTCTAAGACCTGCCTCTGTCTGGCCAGGCTTTCCCAATGTCTCTTTACGCAGCAGCTTTTCCTCGAGCGGGACGATCAGGGCGATGGTGTAAGGCATGATACCGACCGCTAGCACCCCTGGTAGGAGGAGCTTCGCGACTCGCCCCGGCAGAGGCCAAAGGGGCCCTTTGGTGTAATATGCTGTGATACCGGCGTTTCCAAAATAGCAGAGGGCCGCAAAGATGGCGGATGTCGGACAGAGGTGCATGCCGCGTTGAAATATGACTTTGAACTGGTCGAGTCGAGTTTCTTCGGACATCATAGCCTTGGTTTCCACGTCGGAGATTGTCGCCATTGATACATGAGACAGGCTCAGTTGGTTTCCTTTATATATATCCGTGTCAGCAAATAGATATAACACTCCCGACTTCTATCTCTTGGGCGTGGCTTGTTGGACTCACCGGCGAGGAAGGATGTCGCCGTAATGCCCGCGGCCATTAGGGGCCAGTAGTACGGGTGAGGCTGCTGTGCCGACATGATGCCTATCTTCATTGTTATTATTGACAAGAGGAATTATTCTCCGACGGACTTGGAGCTGGCGGGTTCTTATGGCCAGGACGATGCAATCTCGAGTTAAATATTTATCTGTGGCCGTTATTTCAAATGGCCCACACCCGCAGTCGGATTCCGGGCTCGTGGGCCATCTTCGGGGCGCAGGGTGAGGCCTAGGCGCCAACGCTGCCACTCTCCTCATCGCGGTCCAATGGACTCCGACTCCACGGGTACGACAGAATCAACGGTTTCCCAGGATGAGCTATGTCTCAAAGTCCCCGGTGTTGGTTTCTGGGCACGAGTATCTCGACAGAGTACATCCGATGCCATACGTATATATATCATGGTCGTTGTGTCACGATTGATAGACGATGAAACTTCAGATCATCGAGCTACCATACGCTTCTTTCTATACTTCCTCTATTTATTCGCTTGCATCCACGGGCTAGAGTTCCCTCGCCCTCGGCCCGTCCATATATTGATATCCTCAAGGGACTATTACCATTTGCCGGGCGTGTAGATATGCTCGTTGCCGAGGGGACTTTGCCAGATGGCAGCTCCACGCCAATGTCCGGCGAGACTTCCAGTACAATGGATGAGTTCACCGACACAATTCTCTTCTTTAGCAACGACTTCCCCAACGATGATCTCAAGGGTTTGTTTGCCACTCTACAACAGCGAGCTCGCGACTCCAGATTCAGAAACCTCGCCACTTTTCTTTCCGAGTGCACGGTGGTTGTCAAGGAGGAGATTGCTAAGCTTCCTGATAACCTTCGTAACGATCTTCCGCCGTTTCAAAGCATCCCTGCTATCGCTGCTTATTATACCAGCTATGGTCCTGGTCATGGCTGCTCGCTTGCTGCAGGACTCGAAGGTGTTCTCTTGGTAGCCTTGCAAATTGGTATGCTAATAGGGTAAGTCATTCGGTTCCGTTCAAAGAAATCGTCAGTTGACACGGCGTTATCAGGCATTACGAATCAAAAGGTCTCACATACACGCTTCCCCAGCCTGGGACACACCTAGCTGGGCTAAGCATAGGGCTGTTCTCTGCCGCGGCCGTATCCATGTCGGCTTCCATCTCGGACTTGACTATTACCGGCCCTGAGTGTGCTAGATGCGCTTTCAGGCTTGGTGTCCATGTCGAAAGGGTTTCACAGCTTCTTGAGCCGAGGGTTACGGACGGAAAATTGGAAAGCTGGGTCTACGTAGTGACAGGGATGGGGGTGGACGAGATACAGCAGGAGCTCGATAACTACAACTTCAAGACAGTAAGCAAATACATTGTCACCGATCTTGAGGCAGCAGTGCTGATAATTTCTCCCTTACACCTCCACAGGCAAACCCCGAGATTTGCAAGGTATTTATTAGTGCTGCAGACAAGAATTCAGTCAGCGTGACAGGGCCTCCATCACGTTTAAAGCGGGCGTTCCTTTCGTCTAATCGCCTCCGGTACTCGAAACACGCCCCTCTTCCAGTGTATAGTGGGCTATGCCACGCTTCTCATCTGTACAATACTGCAGACGTCGAGTCTATTGTACGCTGGGAAGACCCGTCACCTGTCACCTTACGGAAAGTGGTCATTCCAGTTTTCTCCCCACAGAATGGAACGCATTTCCAAGCCAGCAACTCCCGCGAACTCTTGGAGGCTATGGTTTCGGAGATCTTGACTGGCTCTATCTACACAGATTCGCTCACGGATGGCATTGTTAATTCCCTGTCATCCGCTTCTCAATGCCATTTCCTACAGCTTCGCATGTCAAACATCGCTAAGGGGGTAATCACAACCTTACAGGTCGAGCTCAGCCAAATATCTCTTCAGGAACACGACCTTATTAACTGGACGGCCGAGGATGGCTTGGCATACTGCAAGCCGACGTCAGTACGCGACTCCAAGCTTGCTATTGTAGGTATGTCATGTCGCCTTCCCGGTGGTGCCAACAACCTAGAACAGTTTTGGGACCTACTCATGGACAAGAGAGACGTCCATACAACAGTACCATCCGATAGGTTTGACCTAGAGACACACTTTGACCCGACTGGCGTAACGCCAAACTCTACACAAACACCTTATGGAAATTTTATCGACAACCCAGGATTCTTTGATGCCGCGTTCTTTAATATGTCTCCACGAGAGGTAAGACAATCCCCATCTACTACGGGCCTGAGTATGGCTGACTAGGCAGCAGGCAGAAACAACAGATCCGATGCACCGTCTCGCGCTTGTAACAGCGTATGAAGCGCTCGAAATGGCTGGCTTCTCACCAAACCGGACGCCATCAACTAATTGCAAGCGGTTCGGTACTTTCTACGGAGTAGCTGGTGATGATTGGCGCGAAGTCAACGCCGGGCAGAATCATGGAACGTACGCGGTGCCTGGAGGAGAGCGTGCCTTCGCCAATGGCCGAATTAACTACTTTTTCAAATTTAGTGGACCTAGTTTCAACATCGATACCGCATGTTCTAGTGGCCTCGCCGCAGTTCATGCTGCCTGCGCGTCTCTGTGGGCAGGAGAGTCTGACACAGTTCTGGCAGGTGGGCTCAGCATCATTACTAACCCCGACAACTACTGTGCTTTGGGCAGAGGACACTTCCTATCACTTACCGGCCAATGTAAGGTCTGGGATAAGGACGCCGATGGGTACTGCCGCTCAGACGGAATCGGCTCTATTGTTATTAAACGGCTTGAGGATGCTGAGGCCGATAATGATAATGTGTTGGCTGTTATATCTTCTGCAGCTACAAACCACTCAGCTGATGCAATCTCTATTACGCACCCCCATGCTGGCAGCCAAATCGAGAACTATAAACAAGTCATGCATAGAGCGGGTGTTAATCCCCTTGACGTGACTTATGTCGAGCTCCACGGCACTGGAACCCAAGCTGGCGATGCGGTTGAAAGCGAATCAGTTACAACAGTATTTGCCCCGGTATCCTCTCGACATCGGCCCGAGCAGCGCTTGCACTTGGGCGCCTGCAAATCCAACATTGGCCACGGTGAGGCTGCAGCAGGTATTTCTTCGCTCATTAAGACAGCCCTCATATTCCAGAAGGGGTTGATCCCACCACAATTCGGTGACAAGGACAATGTGAACCCCGTTGTGCTCAAGAACATCGAGAAACGCAACACAGGACTTACCTGGGAACCTACACCATGGGCAAGAGGAAACAAGAAGAGATATGCACTTGTCAACAGCTTCGGAGCCCATGGTGGCAATACCTCTGTTCTACTCGAGGAAGCACCCCCTCGACAGTTGGTAGGCATAGACAACCGCGATGCACACATCATCTCTCTATCTGCCAAGAGCAGATACTCCCTCCGTGCAAACGCTGAATCTCTACTTCAGTTCTTGAAGGGCCATCTAGACACAGATCTGGGAGACCTCTCATACACGCTATTCGCCCGTCGCATGCACCACTCGATGAGAATTGCGGCCTCCGTGACATCAGTGCCGCACGCGATAAGCTGGTTGGAGTCGTCTCTCGAGGAAATAGGGGAGATTAAATCCATTTCATCAACTATCCCCCCTGTCGTGATGATGTTTACGGGTCAGGGAGCCTTTTACAAGTCAATTGGGACCCAACTCTATCGCGACATGCCATTCTATCGAACTGAAGTCCATCAACTGGATTGTCTCGTCCAGCGACTGGGGTTCCCCTCTGTCGAGCCTTATCTATCTGGATCAAGCCAACATGAAGAGACCGACCCTTCAGCCATCATCACCCAACTCTCAATCCTAGTAACCGAAATTGCTCTCGGGCGGCTTTGGAACTTGCTTGGCGTACACCCCAGCGCTGTCATCGGCCATAGCCTTGGTGAATACGCTGCATTTGTCATGGCCGGGGTTCTATCAACTGTGGACGCCATCTTCCTCGTGGGTATTCGAGCTTCACTCATAGAATCCAAGTGCAACCCAAGTACCCATGTCATGCTCTCAGTACGAGCAAGCGTCAAGACTATTGAGGAAACATGTTCTGGTATGGCTTACGAGCTTTCGTGCATAAACGGCCCGCAGGATGTAGTCATCAGTGGGCATATTGATCATATCGAGGGCATCAATAAGCGGCTACAACAGGAGAATATCAAGACTGTTGTACTTGATATTCCATATGCATTCCACACGTCGCAGATGGATCCCATTCTAGATGAGTTTGAAGAGAAGGCACGACATGTCACGTTCAAGCCCCCACAGCTCCCCGTCATTTCACCGCTGCTTGGTGAATGTGTTTTTGACGGAAAGACTATCGGCGCCCAGTATGTGCGTCGTGCATCGCGCGAGCCAGTCAAGTTCGTCGATGCCCTCGATGCCGCCAGAGATCTTGGAGTCGCTGATATCAATGCTGTGTGGCTTGAAGTAGGGCCTCATCCTATTTGCAATACCTTCGTTCGCAACTGGTCTCCAGGTACGGCCGTCTTTGCTTCTATCCGAAGGAAGGAGGATAACTGGACCACTATGGGGACCACTATAGCTGCCTTATATCGACTAGGCGTGCGTATCTCTCCCAATGAGTGGTTCAAGCCGTTTGAAAAGACACACCAAATGCTTCTTCTACCTTCCTACCGATGGAATGAAAAAAACTATTGGATTCCGTATGTTGGCACTTGGACGCTAGACAAGGCGTATCCCAAGATACAGTCGCCTCAGGGTAAAGAAAGACCACTAAACTTGTCATCAACGTTTCAAACGTCATCCATCCAAAATATTCTCCTAGACAAGGTGTATACGGAGGAAGCCAAGGCTGAGGTCGAGACTCTTTCAGATCTGAAGCATCCTTCACTCTTCCCATCCGTTGAAGGACACAATATGAACGGGTTTGGCGTTGCAACTAGTGTAAGTGTATTTGTCCTTCGCTTGACCGTCAAACTTTCAAAAACTAACGACAGACGTATCTTGTATGAATTCAGTCCATTTGGGCCGACATGGCATTGACAGTTGGCGAATACATTTACAAGCGGCTTGTTTCTGACCACGACGGTGAGGTTGCCATGAACATTGTTGACATGGAGGTACTCCATGCCCAGGTCGTCTCAACAGACAAGTCAACACCACACCTCATTCGAGTCAGGGCGGAATGTCAGCTAGCCGACCCGACGACGACGACGGTGACTTGGCACCATGTTGAGGCTAACGACACAGGCGCAGATGCTCCGTTCGCAAGCTGTACCGTCCTCTATGAAGATCCTAAAACCTGGCAGCGGGAATGGAGTCACGTCACGCATCTTGTACAGTCACGTATCGATGAGCTGGACCGTCTTGCAGCAACCGGCGAAGGCGGGGCCAACCGTCTAAGTCGCAACATGGCGTACAATCTGTTCCGCAATGTTGTTGACTACTCCGAGACCTACCGTGGTATGCAGTCTGTCGTGATGCAAGACTTTGAAGCTGTTGCCGATGTGTCGCTCGGCGATGCCTCCAGGATTACAAAGGGCGGCATCTGGCACTCGCCGCCACATTGCATCGACAGCATCTTTCACGTCGGTGGCTTAGTACTCAACGGCAGTGACGCCTCAAACACACGGGATTTCTTCTATGTCACTCCCGGATGGGGCAGTTGCCGGATGTTGCGACGGTTCCGGGCTGGCGACAAGTTCCGCAGCTACGTTCGCATGAGCCCTATGGCCAGTGAGTGTGGCGGTAAAGATGAGAACAACGCCTTGAAAAACATGTTTGCCGGCGATGTGTACGTTTTGCAGGATGGGGAGGTAGTGGCCATGTTGCGCACAATGAAGTTCCGCCGCGTACCACGGACCCTAATGGATCGTTTCTTCAGTCTGTCTGCAGTCACATCTGGAGCACCTGCACATGCTGGCAAGACTATAACAACGACTGCAATGGTCAAGCCCGAATCGGCGGTTACTCAAGCCTCCAAGGGTGATTCTTCAGTTGCAAAGCCCTTTGCTTCCGGGGCTCAACCTATGAAAGAGATAACAATCGCAGCACTAGCGGCGGAGGCGGCACCCGTGGTATCCAAGAGCAGCCCTAGCGATCCCGTCTCTGAAGGTATTGTTTGCTCCTGCATGAAACTCATCAGCCGTGAGACTGGTCTCACTACAGACCAGCTCCAGGACGACGCCACGTTTGTGGAGCTAGGGGTCGACTCGCTCATGTCGTTGGTGCTATCCGAGAAGCTACGCGACGAGTTATCGCTCGACATAAAGAGTTCCTTATTCCTAGAATGTTCTGATATTAAGGCCCTCAAGGAATGGCTGCTGGAGTACTGCTGATATATACTGCAGTTAGACTTCCGTATGGGCGGTATGGGTGGGAATCGACCCCTAATAGGTTTTACCGCCAAGAAACCACGCCCATATCTCTTTTAAACCCACCCAAGTTAAAAAGCTGAATTTTGACACCCACTTAATGGTTACCTTTGGGTGCTAAGATTTAAAACTAATATCAAGGCTTGATTAGTTATCCACTAGCATAGTTAGGTAGGCTAACTAATTATAATTAGCGCTAAGTCTGATATTTTTAGCTAATTTATTTAATTTATTAGAGTATTTTTAAAAGAGGGACTTAAATAGAGATAGTGTTATGCCAAACCCGACAAGAGCGAGAAGTGCTTACTAACAGAGTTATGTGTCCACCAGATTGAGCACGTGACTAACACTACCCTCTATACCGAGATTTGGTAGGATTATCCAACCGCTGACTCACCGTAATGATCACGTGGAATCCCGGAACAACGTTGATCCAACAAATTTGTACTACGACCGTTGCTCAACTAATATCGGTATTCCGTGGCGCAACGTAGTGTCAACGTAACAGCAGCGTTATAAATATAACAACGTACTAGGTCAAAAGCCTAAGCTTTCTCCTATAGCTAGCAGAGCTATCTATAAGTAATGGAGCGAATGTATTCAATATCGATATTCAAAAAAGATCACGTGACTTGATGACCAAGATGATGACTCAGCACCCATCCAACATGTTGATGACTCAGCATCTATCCAACATGTCGATGACTAAGCACCCATTCAACATGTTGATGATTAAGCATTACTATTCAAATATTTTGATGAAGTAAGATGACTAAGCTGCCAAGCCACTACTCATGCAAGGTTGCAAGTATCCAATCAAATGCTCAAAATTCAACCAATCACGTAATTTACAGCAGACCCACAAATACGCACATTTGACCCCTTCTATATATCCACTTTTTGGAATACAATATACTTCGCTTCGCTCCGTAAATTAGCTAAATTAATTATATTAGTGAGCTTAATAAGCGTATATACAAGGATGAAAAATCTACAAGCATATACGGGTAGGAGCTGACTAAGCATTACATTTGACCCTTGGTTATTTAGCCGCTTGGCGAGGTGCAGGTTAAGCTTCAGGTTAATTTTAGTAAGGGGGACTTATCAATTACGATATATTGGACCTTTCTGAGTATTGTACATGGAAGATTAAGAGAGGCTCTGCCTGCTGTGCTCGGCCTCTTTTTTCTTCTATAGTAAGGTCAAAATATACGAGCAGATCGACAATCTAATGATTGAAGTACAACACAATCAGATGCAAAGGATGAGCAAAGATCGATTTTCGGCTTCGAGGTAGGAAGTTGTCTTCAAAAAACCAAAGGAAATGCATTGCATTAACGGTGTATAGGACGGAGCTATCTCGTGAGCATCAGGAAACAATAGAAGACCTTCTATATAGGTACGCCTGTATATAATTCTACTCATGAAGCACGTCAATTATCAAAATTATAAAAACTCCGCCACTTACGAATTCACCAGGTTATTATACCCCATAGGTATATGGCGGGAACAAAACACAAAACCATCGAAAGGCAGACGATGGAAAAAGTCACAACTACGCAATGTCGCTGCTTCCGGTGCCAAAGATGGAGAAAAATCTTCAGCTCAGGCGCCTTCATCTTCTATTGAGCCGGAGGTGTTGAAACATGTTACTATAGGCTTCAACTCTACTATGAAATGCCTCGAGGCACTCGGTGAGGCAAGCCTTGATACCAAAAATCCAGCAACAGAGCAAGAAGCCACAGAGAAGCCAGGGTTACGAAAGTTAGCAGTGGTTTTTATTTGTCGGTCAACAGTCCCTACTCCAGTGGCCGAGCCACTTGCTTTTGCTGTTAAGCGAATATCAGATATACAACGGTACAATGGGGACAGCAATATTAGGCTGGTCTACTTGTCTAAGAATGCTGAAACAAGAATGGCAGATGCCGCCGGCTTGCCTCGGATTGGTGTGATAGGAGTAGAAGAGGGACCGCCCGCTAGGATTTTTGTTGATTATGTGCGAGAGAATGTTCAGCCCCCTATATAATGTGATTGTTGATATGCAAACGCTCACTTTACATGCCCCTTGCAACTATCTATCCTGAACACCATCTGTATCGAATGGGATGTATATCTATAGACAAGGTCCTCCTTTAATGTTCAATAGTCCAATATGTAGCTTGCAAACCTCTACTCTTTGGCAGCGTCGCTGCTCTTTGTACGTGATGTATCTAACTCGGTTTCTACGCGGCGGATGATCCTCGCTGGATTTCCTGCAACAACATGAAAGGCTGGGACATCCTATGCACGGTTAGCCCATCACCAACCCTATATGTATAGGTTATAAATAGCATGGCTGGAGCTTACCTTTGTTACAACACTTCCCGCACCAACAACTGCACCCCTACCAATCGTCACTCCTGGTAAAATGTCGACGTTTCCGCCTATCCAGCAATCTTCACCGATATGGATCTCTTTACCATACTCGGGTCCCTTCGTCCCCCTTCTGACAGCAGGGTCCAAGGGATGTGTGCCCGCATACAAGTTGACACCTGGCCCGAATAGAGTCCTTGCACCAATGGTGACCAGACAGGTATCTAGTGCAACACAGTTGAAATTGATAAAGACGCCCTCGCCGACCTTGAAGTTGTAACCATAATCTGCCCGTATGGGTGCCTCTATCCATGGGTCATCTTCAAAGAGAGCATCATCTGCTTCCTGGTCCGCAGCTGGCGGCGGCATAGGCCGTTTATCACAAACGATGCTAACAAGGCGCGTCAATATCAACATGAGCAGACATGTATCGGGAACAGACTGTCAGTTTGAAGTAGTAAAATGAAACAACTTACTCCCTCCAGAGCTCCACGCGTCTTCTACGGGTTACTTCGCCTGCGTTATTATATCTTTCACACGCAGCTTTACATCTTGCTCTCTCTGCAATCAAATCGGGTGAAAATGCGGTGTATAGCTCTCCCCGTAACATCTTTTCCCGCTCGGTGAGCTTCTCAGAGCTCGGCTCAGTCGGACCAGACATGGGTGCCAAGCTGAACAAGACAAACAGATGAGAAGTAATAAGATATATATATATATCAAAGGATCAACTGTTTATATCTACTTGCAACCGAACTTCCCTTGCATCTTCTAAGTTTAGCCTCGGCTTAGTATTATCTAATCTCATTTATACTTTAGCGCGGCTACTAGAGACTTTGGCAAGGAACTAGTCAGGTGACCCGTATACACCTCAGCCCTACATTGAACTTCGCTTTTTCCTTCTTTTCACGCTGAAAAACTTCGACATGCAGCGAGCCGAACAAAAAGCGAACTCTTCATGCACGATCTGTATGCATGATCGATATCGTTGGTTCAAATGAAAATGTGACCCTGTACAGATTGAAGCAGTCGATACTCCAACCCTCCAATAAGCGGTCGTATAGTGTAGCGGTTAGCACATCGGATTCTGATCATATCTCAAATTCCGGTAACCCTGGTTCGATTCCTGGTATGACCTTACTTTCTTTTTTTTTGGCCCCATTGATGTAGGGTGTTTATTATACGCCTTTACCCATCCGATGGATTCTTAAAACATCGAGTATATGATTTAGTACAAATTTGCGTGCAGAGCCGTCTTGGATGAACTTTTCGGATCATCAGAGCAACAGACCTAGTAACAACTGCATTCGAATGTCATTTGAAACATTATTTCTGTTTCTCAAGGTCTTCTATCTTTAGGGCATCGCTTCATCGGTAAAGTCAAAAGCTCAAGATTCCAAGATGGAACGCTCTATACGAAAATGGAACAAAACTGACCTGTTGATAGATTATTGGGTGAATCCTTGCAGTATGGCTGGTGGGTTTGCGGCCGATCAAGCCACTTGAGCCGCTGCAGCCTTGGATTGCAGCCTATATAAGATATAATTGTCTTCTTCAGCTTGTGATATTCTTGGAATCCAAGGCGTATAAAGATGCCTTCACCAACGATAGAAAGCTTGCCGTTCGAGATTCTCGATCTGATTATATCATTTATACCCGTCGTTGACTACTACAGCATAAAGCTTACAGGAAGCCGTCATCTCACTAGCGCTATTCGCCGACGGACTTCTAGCATTTCTCGCCAGGAGTATGCCACTCTACTTCAGCAGCAAGACGGCTACGGTAGTTTCAAGATAGTCCCGATTCGGACTGCACTTACAATCACCATCCACCGAGGGAGTGAATCCATCGTTCGACGCTACATAGACCGATATGGTGGCGCCAAAACCCGGCCACTCAGCCGTGAAAACCGGACATATACCACTGCCTTCCATATGGCGGCATATCACGGTGCTACAAATATCCTCAGCCTCCTTATGAGTCGGATCAATCTCAGATGCCGAAAGACCGGAAACACTGCACTTCATCTTGCGGCCGGGCACGCCAAACTTGAGGCAACCAGACTGTTGGTAGAGAACGGTGCTGATATCAATGCTATCAACTTTGATGAGAAAACCCCTCTTATGATGGCGCAGAAATCAGGGCTTAAGAAGGATGTTGTCCGATATCTACGAAGCCAGGGAGGATGTGTATCTGTAGAGGAGGTTCTGAAGCAACATCCCTCTAGAACGTTTGCAGATTTAGTGTGGAGGTGTACCGATGAACCTGTAACAATCGGAGATATGTTCTATTGGGTCGTATTCTATCGAGATTGGGATAGGATGAAGGTTATACGCGCGTTTGCTAACTATCTAGACACACAACAAAGTCGGGGCCCGGGGCCAAATGAGCGACGTCAAAGGAGCTTAGTTTCCTTTGCCACAGTCAACAGGGTGACACATGTCATTCAAGCGTTGGTAGACGATGGATTCTGTATCAATTCCTGGACTGACCCCGGTGGCCACAACCTCCTCCATATTGCCGCCCGCTCTGGAGATGTCTCGTTGGCAGAAATGCTTCTTAAGAACGGAATAGATCCTAACCACCGCTGCCGAAATGGAATGACACCCTTACATATGGCCGCATATACAGGCGCTATGCCCGTCCTCAGGGCGCTCATACGGTCTGGTGTTTCGGTGAATCTGGCAGATGGTAAAGGACGGACGGCCCTGCATTGTCCGCGCCTCTGCTACACCAATTTCGTCGCCACCCTTGTCGACGAGTATGGTGCCGATACTGAAGCGAAGGATAATAATGGTCGAACTCCCCTCCATTACGCCATCATCAAAAAGATGCCCGACATTTTCATGGATCTCCTAAACATAGGTGCCGATATTAACGCCCAGGATCGAAGGCTTGAGACGCCTCTTATGCACGCCATCCGGAGACGTTACATATACTCCATCGGTGTATTGATGCAACGCGGCGCAGACTTTACTTTGTTAAACGTAAACGGCCTGAATGCTATGGAAATGTCGCCCTATACCTATGCTCTTGGGATGATTCTTTGGAATGGCCATAACCCCCAGCTCAAGGCAAAGAAGGCTACGATGGAACTTATCCGTCAAACAAGGGTGGACCAGGACCAGGACGTCTCTTCATCTAGTGATTGATACTATCTTCAGTTCAACTGTGTGAGATATATGGTATTTATACTTAAGTCACTAGTCGTAGATTTCGAATGCCTTTGAGCATTTGCCTCTCAACTGTAACCAAATCAAGTTCATATCTCGTTTCAAAAGCTACCCAACCAGGTAGAATGGCACCCTCTACATGGACAATCGATACGCAACAGCCGAGAATGATGTATATACAGGCTGCACCTGGCCGTCTATAGCAACGGATCCTCCCACTAGAGCCTGTCAAGGTTATCACCAGCATGTGCTAAAGTCATTTCGTTAACCAACAATAGCAGCCTCTGCCTTGAATAGAAGATGGTAGATATGTGACTCTAGGCTATCATGATGGAGAGGCTCTCCGGAGCCCACTACTAGAACTTCTATACAAAGCCTGGCAGTTCTTCTCAGTCACTCCCCGAGCGTATCATCGCATCAACAGTATCAACAACATCCATACAAAATACTCTGATATCAACTTCGTCGTTACGAAAAAGTCGAAGTTTTTCTTTTTTATAACACCACGTGACCATCTGGCGGGAAAAAAATATAAGAAAAGTAAATAAAAAAAGAAATAAAAAGATTTTGTTTCTTCGTTTGAATTACTTTACTTTGCTGTGTATTCGATATAAAAGGCTTCATAGATATAGACAATGGTGCACTCAGCAAGAGTGGGTGTTCTAGGCGGCGGCCAGCTGGGCCGTATGTTGATGGAGTCTGCAAACCGCCTGAACATCCAGATGAACATACTCGATGCTGAGGGCTCGCCAGCAAAACAGATCAGTGCACACGATACCCACGTAACCGGCTCGTTTATGAACCCGGAGGCTGTTCGTAAGCTGGCCGAGGTGAGCGATGTATTGACTGCTGAGATTGAACATGTCGATACCTTTGCCCTCGAGGAAGTTGAGTCTCTGGTCCAGGTCGAGCCGAGCTGGAAGAGCATCCGGATCATTCAGGACAAGTATGCGCAAAAGGAGCATCTGGCCAAGTTCAACATCCCTCAGGCGGAGTATCGGGAAATCAGGGAGAACTGCAGGGAGGAATTAGCGAAGATCGGAGAGGAGTTTGGATATCCGTTCATGTTGAAATCAAAGACTGGAGCGTATGATGGGAGAGGTAGATACTGGATGCTGATTCCTTGTCTTTTAATGCCAACGCTTATTAACTTACTACATCTAGGCAATTATACGGTAAAAGGGGAGTCGGATATATCTCCTGCATTGGAGGCACTCAAAGGGAGGCCCCTTTATGCAGAGAAATGGGCCAAGTTCAGAATGGTAGCAACCCTTCTTTTCCTTCTTGTTTTTATGGGCTGTTACGGAGATAAGCTAAGGCCCGTATAGGAGCTCGCAGTCATTGTTATCAAGACAAAGGATACTGTTCTATCATACCCTACAGTGGAGACTGTCCAGGAAGACTCGATATGCAAGCTCGTCTATGCACCAGCACGAGGCGTCTCTCAGAAGATAAACGAAAAAGCTCAAGAACTTGCCCGAAATGCGGTTGCTGCCTTTGAGGGGAAGGGAGCCTTTGGAGTCGAGATGTTCCTACTGGAAGACGATTCTCTTCTATTATGCGAGCTTGCCAGCCGAATCCACAATTCTGGACACTACACAATCGAAGGATGCAGCCTCTCTCAATTTGATACCCACCTCAGGGCCATTCTCGACCTGCCCATCCCCCCACAGAGCTTGCAGCTACGACAGCCGTCAATCATGCTGAACATTCTTGGTGGATCAGCTCCAGACTCACATCTAGACATTGGCAGATACGCGCTCTCAATACCGAATGCTAGCGTCCATCTATACAGTAAAGGGAACGCTAGGCCAGGGCGTAAGATGGGTCATATAACCGTGACAGCCCCGACGATGCATGAAGCAGAGACGATCATACAGCCGCTGATCGACTATGTCAACGGTAAATCAGCAACTGAACCATCAGCGTCGCTAAAGCCTCAGCCTACAGTGGGAGTTATAATGGGGTCCGACAGCGACCTGAAAACCCTTGTTCCGGGCTTGAAGCTGCTACAAGAGTATTTTGGCATCGTGCCGGAAGTCGATATCACATCCGCTCACCGCACCCCGGAGTATATGGCAGAGTATGCAGCCACAGCTGCATCCCGTGGCATCAAGGTGATTATTGCTGCTGCCGGTGGTGCTGCTCATCTACCTGGAATGGCCGCCGCACACACATCCCTCCCCGTCATCGGCGTACCCGTCAAAGGAAGTGCGCTGGATGGTGTGGATAGTTTGTATAGTATCGTGCAAATGCCTAGAGGTACGTATCTGCTAATTTGGTCCAGTTAAGTCGATGCTAACGTGTGTTGTAGGTGTCCCTGTTGCAACGGTTGGAATCAACAACAGCATAAATGCCGCTCTTTTGGCTGCCAGAATACTTGGTGCTTTCAACGGAGCCTTGCGCCAGAAGGTCGAGGAGTATGCAAAGGCCGCAAAGACCGAGAACCTCGACGTCAAGGGAGTCAAGATGAGAGAGATTGGCTGGGAAAAGTACTTTGATCAAATGGAAAAGAAATGAGCTACGAATCATTTTACGCAGAAAATAGTTGATGTTTATGAATACAGGCACAACGTCGCCCCGAACAATGGCTTAACCTCCTCCGTAGCAGCCTACCACGTATATATTGATTATAGCAGCTATCTCGGTTATCTACGATATATTCCATCTATTCGTCTGCGTTTTTTCGCCCCTTTCTCGTAAATATATGGCATTCACGTGATATCATCGCGGCTTTTTGGCTTAAACATCGAAGAAGAAACCAAACTCGCACCGACAAGCAAAAAACAAGAAAAGAAGAAAAGACAAGCTGTGATCAAGTTTATCTTCCAGAGAAATAAAGACGAAGGATAGTCGGAATAAGTTGTGGACAAGTCCTGCGACCTCTCACGCATGATGACTTCAAATGGCGCTGGCGGAAAAGGTATGGATGGCATTCTTACCTCCCCCCCAAACTGCGTCATAACTAGCGGTTAAGGATGATTTTATACTGTATGCTGAAGGATATGGGCTGACGGTCACTTGTGGCTTCTGGTTTATTTAGTATTAAATCTGCCTGCGAGTTCTGATCCCAGCTTTGTCGATGCTTCTGGATACAAGTTCAAGGAAAAGGACTTCAAGTCGAAGGTCAAAGTGAAGAAGCCGTCCGCGAAGCTGCTAAATGGCCTTACGGAGCAGAGTATGTCTCTTTGACTTCACTGTCTCTTCACCTTGGCCTGGGAAATAAGAGACTTATCTACACTAGTCTTCTTTGCTGATATCTTGCAGACTCCAAAGATGAACAAGACTCGCGAGGCTCTTCGTCGCCCATACTACCAGAAATGGATTCCAGCACAATGGCAGCTTTCCCTACTGGCAAACCGAGAGAAACCAAGCTCGAGACGGTGATATGCAAGCACTGCAAGAAACCAGCCCTTAAGCAGTCGGCAGCAGAGCATATACGTGCATGTTTAAAAGCGAAGCAGGAAAAGGCTCGGAAGAAGAAAGAGGCTCGAGAAGCCAAGTTAACCAAGGATAAGCCGGTGGATAAGGATGGCAATGAAGATGCAGAGGGAGAAGTCGTTGCCATGAAGGGCCAGAAGAGCGCGAAGAAGAGTGCTGCCGATGATGCAAAGAAGGGGAAGAAGAGGAAAGTCGACGTAGACGAGGACAAGGAACCGAAGAAGAAGAAAAAGAAAGACGAGCCGAAGCCGAAAGTGCCAAAGCCCAAGGGACCAGTAGACGTTGAGAAGCAGTGTGGTGTGATTCTTCCAAATGGAGCTCAGTGTGCGAGATCGTTGACGTGCAAGAGTCACTCTATGGGTGCAAAGAGAGCGGTTCCCGGACGGTCTCTGCCCTACGACATGCTGCTGCAAGCGTACCAGAAGAAGAACCAGGCTCGCCAGCAGAGTATGTTCTTACCTACTGACTGCTTTTATCGATGTATACATGGTGTAGGTACTAACCTCCCTTATAGAAGCCGCTATCGATGCCAACGCGCCCATCCACGACGATATCGACGGAAACGGACCCATCGACTCAGACGAGGAAAAGGATGCAGTCATGGCTGGGCTGGCACGATCTCGTCCACAACCACTCGTTACTCACCCACTCATGTCAACCCAGCGCAAGTACCATCTCATACGGATGAAGGAAATGTTTTCTCAGGCCCTCGGTGGCGGCGGAGCAGGACTATTCTCCGGAGATTCCATCTTCTCTGGACGCAGTCTGTTCTCCCGGTCAGAGTCGCCTCCGTTTGCGTCTTCTGGAGCCGGTAACACTGCAGATATCTCCATACAACAGCCGCAAGACGGCTCTAGGAAGTCTTCTCTATCACAGCAAGCTGTTCAAAACCGGACAGCCCAGGCGGGAGTGCCGGTCAAACCAGTCACGGCTTCTTGACCATCTTTGGGATAATATTCTTTCGTTCACCTTAACACGGCGTTTTGGCCTGCATCGGCTTGGTTATCATCTGGAGCAATTTGGACGGCGAGGGTGTCTTTTCATTACTTTGGACTTTGGTGCAATACTTTTTGGATGAGGCTCTATATGATACCCCTTCGAGATGTTAGATGTATGAATATTCATGAATGCAAAAATAGTTCAATCTTACACTATTCCCCCCTGTATCAACACTTACCATCCGCCTGTAGGGACATGTAATAGCTGTGTCAACCGTCTAGTGCTAAAAAGTCGAACTCCCCGCGCAAAAAACTGTTGGTTGCCTGCACTTTTTCCCTTTCAAGTCAACCATCGCCAACTCTTAAAATATCGTCAAAACCAGCCACGAACAACCACAAACAACCATAGCTACCAGCTTCGTACAGCCTACCCAGAGCTTCTCATAAGGAAAAGAGAGAGCGGCTTTACGACTCTAACTCGCCTGTGAACCACACCTCTATCAGCGCCACGTCGCGAGACGGTCGTGGCTTCAAAAAGTCCTTCCTTCGATCCTCTCCGGCGCATCACTCTACTCTCAGAGGCCATGGGGAATTCCGTTCCTGATATCGATGCGATCGGGATAAAAGCAGAGGCACATCTTGCTGACCAGTTCCGGCGAGAAGTCGCACATCTTCTGGGTCGTTCGTCGCTATCCTTCCCTGGTGCGCAACCAGTCAGTTTCGCATCACATCATATCCGTGAACTACAAGAGAAAGACTACTACGTATGCGAGAAGACGGACGGGATACGATGTCTGATGTACTTTGCGCGAGGAGATCCGGACTCAGACACCCCGGAGATTCACTACCTGATTAATCGCAAGAATGAGTACAGATTCATACCTGGCCTACATTTCCCCATGCCCGATGACGATACCTTCCAGAGCTTCCATGTGGACACGCTGGTGGATGGCGAGCTGGTTAACGACACCTACGAGGATGGGACGGAACAGTTGAAATATCTGGTTTTTGACTGCCTGGTTCTCGACGGTACAAGTCTGATGCATCGAACACTAGACAAACGGCTGGCATATTTTAAAGAAAAAGTCCTCAAGCCGTATAACGCCATGTATAAGAAATTCCCCGAGGAGAAGAAACACCGGATTTTTGCTGTGGAGGATAAATCCACACAGTTCAGCTACGGTATCGAAATGATGTTTCGAGAGATCATTCCCAAGGTGAAGAAGATACATGGCAACGACGGTCTGATTTTCACCTGTCGCAGCACGCCATACAAGATTGGAACGGACGAACATACGCTGAAATGGAAGCCACCAGAGGAAAACAGCATTGATTTCCGTCTAAGGCTAGAGTTCCCTACAATAGAACCAGACTCAGAGGATGAAGCAGATGGAATAACGGAAACGTACCCCGACTACGATGCTATTCCAACATGCCACCTTTTCATATTGCATAATAGGGGAGAGTACCGCCATTTTGGAACCATGTATCTCACTGAGTCTGAATGGGAGGGGATGAAGGCCTTGCAAAAACCCCTTGATGACACCATCGTTGAGTGCATACAGGATGAACAAGGCAGATGGCGATACATGCGGTTCAGAGACGACAAGGCGGATGCAAACCATATTTCGACCGTGGAGAAGGTGCTTCAGAGTATCCAAGACCGGGTCTGCGAAGAGGAGCTAATTAACTCTGCGCCTGCGATCAAAGCTGCATGGAAGAAGAGACAAGCTCAAGCCGCGGAAGAAGAAGCTGCCAGGAGAAGAGGGATGAATAACGGTATTCCCAACGGAGCTGGAGCTAAGAGGAAATATGGCGAGTAGGCTCTTATTTTCCTTCTTACCTCTACCCATCTCTATTCTAGCTTCTATTCACTACGTTTTCGCCTATATGAATACCCTTTTCTCTGAGTTCACATGCTTTATTCCAGTTTATTGCTGTGGTGGTTTTCCTGCGCTTTCCTTAGAACTTGTATAAATAAGCTTAAGGCGTGGTTCTGTTCGTTTATCATTATCTTCAATGTCGTGTATACGGGACGGGGTTTCTCTACCATTGTCTCTCCTTTTGGTATGCACTCTTTATTATAGGTGTTGTATGTCATTTATGGGAAAACGGGGAAAACAAGGGGGAGAGGGTGTTTTCAAATTTCGTACTTCAATCCTTTCGTGTCATTCGCCTATCAAGCTAGCTAGGTAATAAGTGATAAATATGAGTTAGGATACTGACTTCAATATTCAAAGTCATCATCCACAGCTCCCTTGCTTGCATCCTTTGTAACACTCTCTTGTCTTCGGTACATTTCTGCCACTGCTTTTGTAGTCGTAGCTTGATCCGGCTTCTTGTCATCTCTCGCCTTGATGTACCGTGGGAAACGCAGCGAGATACCCTTGGCTGTAGAACCACCAGTGTTGCCCATGACCTCGTCACTTGCGGCACTGTATCTCGGGCTAAGAGTGAGATCAGCAGCCTTGACTTCCCATACGAATTTGGGTTCAAACCAGACGTCTGGCTGATCCTTGGGAACTGTTGAGTGAGAATAGAATGGCTTTGGCTTGTCAATAACAAGCGGGCTGAGTGTCTCATGAAGTTCTTCGAGGAGAGCTTCTGAGAAGCCTGTACCAATATTGCAGATTGTTTCGTAGTTTTGGGTTTTGGTATTGTACGCGGCGAGCAGGAAAGCACCATAAACAGACGTACGTTTGCCGCGGCCAAAATATGCACCCAGCACCACGAGGTCGAGCGAGTCGCCAATTCCAGCTAGATAGTCCTTTTTGACCTGTTGATTTGGTAAGTAATACATTCAGGGCTATTCAAGTGCATATGTATCATTGAGAGAGGAAGTAATACCTTGAGCCAGTTTCGGCTTCTCTTACTTGGTTCGTAGCCACTGTCTTCTGTATCTAACATCTTCACCATGAGTCCTTCACAAGAAGCTTTAACACTCTCATCAAGCATTGTCTGGATTTCTTCTAAATCGCTAGTATTTCCATGTTGAGCGAAAGCAAACTCTCCCTCAATTGGTACGAATGCGTCATGTAAAAGGTCACGTCGCTCTCTGAGAGACTTTTTGACGGTAGGCTATACATCGAGTTAGTATTATCCCGTTAATTGTCGAGAGAAGTAACTCACTTCTCCGTTCAGGAAGAGCAAGTCAAACGCAAACACGCAGACTTTAACCTTAATATCTTCCGACTTCACATCTTTTCTTTTTCTCGTCATCAGTTGCTGAAAGGGGAGAACCTTCTTGTTGACAGTATCCCAAGCTACCGTTTCACAGTCGAGCACAAAACTCTGCGTGCCAGGCTTAACCCAGGTTTCCAATTTCTCAAGAATGTCAGGGTATTTCTTGGACAGGTCTTCTGAGTTCCGAGAGAAGATAGCGGAAAGACCCTCGCCGTCCTTTTGAAGAGCCGCAGAAGCTGCTGGATAATCTTTGATAGTGTCACGGGAGACGTAATGTATCTGTGCTCTCTCACCGTCATATTTATACTCACATGTGAAATGCTTCCCTTCAAATCTATCAAGAACTTCGCTGATAGATTTGGTTGGCTTAGCAAGCATGGGTTTCAATGGCACGCCGGGCTGCAGTTTGCAGTTATCTGGGAGATTGAATATACCATGCTTGAGCATGGCTGGGATGATCACTTCATATGATGGAAGTTCACTAAGACAAGTGTTAGCTTTTACATTATCTTGACGTTTAGAAAGGGTGAAAGCAGACCTATAGACACTTTTGAGAATTTCTTCTCCTTTGGCAAGCTGATCTGTGCTTGCAGTCTTTCCCCCATCCATTTCGGCTTCGTGTGCCACCATTGCATGGGCCAAAGCAACGAGTACAGTCCTCTCGGCTAACCCAAGCCGAAGTTTGCCTTCCAGAAACCGTACAATGAATTTGGCCTCGCTTGCACCACCCCTATCTTTGGTGATGTCAATTGCCTTTGCGCCCTTTCCAGCCTTATCGGCATCGGCAGCTGATAGCAACTTTTTGATACCGGCAATCTTCCTCTCTTGAGACCCAGAACCCTGTGTCTTAGCGATAGCCAGGAGTCCCTCATGGACCCCTCGGACAGTCAATGCTTTGGGTTTGAACATGGTTGGCTGGTTGGATCGACTCTTTGCGGCAACAAGTCCTAGATCACCAATTTCATGTTGATCTGCTTTGATAACAGCAAGGCTACGCCCGGTCGATTCACCGACAGCTTTCATAATTAGAGATTCTCCAATTCCAAGTTCAACGCCTGCATAATCTGCCGCTAACTTGTTTATCATTAGCTGGACGGTTGAAAGAAGGTCGTCTGGGGTAAGACGGAGTACTTGACGCAGGAAAAGTGCGCAGTGGGATAATATAATAAGGCGCTTTGTAGTCATTTCAATATGTGAAAAGGTGGTGCAAAGCGCCGCATAGGGAACGGGGTCTCCGGCTTTCCAATCGGGGTATAGGTCTTTCGGCTTGGACATGAGAGTGCTCTGGACTTGTTTCCTCTGCTTAGCCGCCGTTTTCTTCTTCTGTTGGACTTTGGCTGGCTTTTGGTCTAGCTCGTCTTCCTCGACCTCTGAAGCAGAATTCTCCTCAGCGGAGGACAGTTCTGGTTCGGGCTCTGGATCTGCCTTCTTAGGTGATTCTTCTTCTTTATCTGTTGCCTTACCCCGGCTGGCCTTAACAGGGCTCTTCCCTCCGGTGCCTGATCTGGGTGATCTTCTTCGTCGTTTTGTTACAGGCTGCTCATCTGATTCCTCATCCAGTTTATCTGCCGCTGCCTCCTTTCTTTTCTGTCTCCTTGTCACAGGAGAAACAGACTCGCTCTTGACTCCATCAGATAATATACCTCCATCTACCTCCTCATCGCCAATCGGAGGCGGAGTACGCTTCCTTCTAGCTCTACCAACCTGTTTCTGAGGTGTCCGAGGCTCCCCATCTACCTCCTCATCATCCTTGGTCTTGGTCTCATCGTCTTTAGAGCTGCCACTTGCCTTCGATGAAAAAGCAAGCGTCGATTGCTTCTTTGGAGCGGGATTGCTACTTGAGCCGAAGAATTTCCTATGCGAACAAAGAGTAACAGAATTAGTCAGGCGAACTCATAGTCAAAACCTATCTATACGTATTATTGCCCGAGAAAGTCACAAAGGCGCAGCATGTCAGAGTATGTGAAATCCCTTCCATACGCACCAAAGCGTCAGTTGAGGGTCTCTCACATACCCGAGGGTTGATTGCTTTGAACCACCGGATTTCTGAGCCATGATAGTCAAAGCTGAAGCTGGGTTGGTATAAATTGTCCGGATAGTTTGAAGTGGGTTCCTCTGAAATCGAAAGAATGATATTAAGGGCTTTGTTCGCGCGACGTGCCTTGAGTATATTGAAATCGAGAAGCTCATAGAAGCGCAGATGAAGAATATATAGTAGTAGATGTGCGGAATGAATCAAAGATGGAAATACAGGATGAGCGGGAGAGGCAGAGATGGCGTTTTATCGGAACACAGGTCGAAGTGATGGGTTTACACGATTGGTAGTGTGGACATGGCTTCTCAAGGAGTTCGCGCAGTATTTATTTGTTGGACAGACACCATGCCCTTGTAGCCTAGCGCAGTGTGGGCCCAGTAGAGCATCCAGAGTGGAATGGCTGCCTGCTGGGGATACCGAACAGACGATGGATATTCCACGGTATTATATGGCATATATCACTTGGTCGTCTTCTATATTACGCGCGCGAAAGTACAACAAGCGCGTCGCGATAAAGTCACATGACCTGTTGCCTTCCCAATACGAGAAAAGGAGGCATTACTCATATTTTTTTCATGTAGGTAGTGGGATAATTCTGGAGAAGTTTATGAACTTGGATATTAAACAAATATGATAATGAAAGTACAAGAATATAGCATAGAATCATGTTAAATGAGTTGTGACTCCATGTGTTAGAGCAATTTGGATTATATTATACCCCTTAGAAAAGTCAACCCAAAGATAAATCATAGCAAACTTCTTCAAAAATCCACACTCCTCTACGTTGGAGATATCCGGGCTCATTGTGTTCCGCTTGGAGGTGAGGTGTGGCTGTTCCGTAAGGCGAATAACTAAGCTATCTGCTTTCCTCTCATCAGTCTGGAATTGGGTGCAGCTTCGGCCTGGTTCATATTCTCATTAGTCGTTGGAGTAGGAATAGGTGGGATACCTGGAATAGAAGGGATAGATGGAAGGGGTGGTAAAGTTGGGATGAGAGAAATTAGCCATGGAGGAATGGCGGTAGGAATGGCTGTGGGAATCACAGTAGGGATGGCCGTGGGTATTGGTAAACTTGGTAAACCTGTAGGCAATCCGGTAGGAATAGCTGTAGGAACCCAGGATGGGACTGGAAGTGTCGGGATAGGAAGAGATGGAAGAGGGACAGATGGAATGGGCAAACTTGGAAGGCCGGGGATCCCGGGAATTCCGGGAATGTTTGTAGGAACGGGGAATTGTTCTACCTGGGCATCTAATTTCGCGGCAGAGTCCGGAGTAGCACTGCGGCGGCGTCGGCTTGGTGGGACTCCTAGACAATGTATAAGCACTTGAGCTGAACAGCAATATGTGACGGGTAATACTAACCAGAATCTATGCAGTATTTGGTTCCAACTTGACGCATTTGGTCGCGCTCAGCAGGAGTGCATTTCTGTGCACAGTTATGGAGATGCTGCTGATACTTTTGATTGCGGCACAGGCATTGAGGGCTAGGGAACGAGCAACCGAATTGCCTAGAGTTCCTTATGCCGTCGTAGATGCATCCTTTCTGGAATTACCTCGTTAGTAAAAAATGTTCTAATAATCTCAATGGGGTAAATCCGCATCTTACAGGGCACGGCGGGAGTTGATTGATCGGGCCCGGGTCTGCAGCTAGAACTGCAGCCGCTATTATGGTTAGGGGAAGGAAAATGGAGAGCTTCATAATGTCGGCAATGAGAAAAGGTCGATAGTTAAGTAGATGATTGTTATGTGAATCTGTATATCTGAGGATGTCGCTAGGGGTTGATCTCTGATGAAGAAAAAATGAGAATAGGAGGAGGGTATATCAATATTTATATCTAGCCGATGCTGTATGAAGGAGGGATTCGTAACCTCATATTTCCCTAGGAGATTCGGCAGAGCTGTATCGTAGGGGAATGAATTACTGCTTCGGTGGAGCGGGAATCGCAAAAGGGGTCACACACGAAAAACAAAACAAGGTCACCCACATAAGGGAGAGTAGGATTGGAGATCATTGCACGATGGCTATGACCGTTAACTGACTATAAGTTAATGACTGACTTCATGGCGAGCCATGGCTGGAGTTTGTGGAGGGCTTATCGACGGAAAAAGCAATATTACGCCACTCTAACTCTCGGGTGGTGTCTGCGATTTTAGTCTAACGACTATGGACGTTAAAGTTCTCACCACTGAAATGTTGCCAACCAGTTTATATTTAACGAGGGACCATCAATGACGAATCCGTGGATTCTAGAACGACGAACCTTCGGTGGCTCTAGTAAAGACATTCAGATCGCTCCTCTAGGTCTAGCCATTCCATTGTCTATGCCGTGTCTATGGGAAGGCTAGGTTGTGTACCTGAAGAAGCAAGATTAAATGGTTCGAAAAACCTTGATCGTTTTCTAGTTGAATAACTCTTGATAAGGCGTTTTGTTGAAATGGCTCTCTCGTAGCGTACTGACAAGTCAAATCGGTGTCGCCGGTCATTCGTATGAAATCAATGCAGGGTAGAACCCAGTCGCTATAGATAAGCTGGTTGAATGGCGATCACAAGCTTGATTGTGTAGCTAGCTTGCTATACAACCGTGCGTCCAATGAGCCAAATCGGAGGCTTCATCCATTTACCGAACCCCTGACAGAAGCCACCACGCTCAATAGTTTTATTTCGGATATTCTGGAGTGTATATAACGGGAAAATGAAAAAGTGCCAAAGGCGCCTGATGTGTTGCATGATATCATTTTGCTTGATAGTCACTCCATACCTCCACCCTTAGAGGGTGCAGGTGAAACAGCATGATAAAAGTACGGTCATGGATGATACAGTCGTCGAAGCTGTATCACCTCACAGCTTCATGGTAAGCAAACATTAGGGCAAACAGCTATGCTCCATCAGCACTAAATTGAGGCTGGTCTGGTCTGTCTTCGGGTCGAAGGGAGGCAATCGAGGATGAGCAGGGTATTTTGTGACTTTTGCCTCACTAAACAGAACCGATGGGGTGCCACCGCAGACGGAAAGGTCGGGTTTAACGAGTGAGGCCTCTGTTAATATTGCCGGCACATATTCCATTAATGTTGTCTAGTTTACCGAGGAAGTTCGACGTTGAAAGCTGGAAAAATCGAAGTAACTAAATGATATCACATGACATGAAACGCTGACTAATATTAACGCCAAGAATAGAAAGTTAATATAGCTTATATAATACATCCTTACCAAAGACGAAAAGAGGCAAAACAGCGAAGAACTACATCTTCGAGAGATAGAATGGACATCGAGAAACAAAGGATGTTGAGAAGCAGGATTATGTGAAAACGGGCTCTGATGGAGGACATACGCCAGAAAACATTCCAAAAGGTACTCATCATACACAATTTTTCAATATATATCACGCAGTATTTCTAATAGCTTTTAGTTACGTCCACCATGTGTTGAGCTTAGCTCTATCAGTCTAAAATTCAAGGGCAACCTCGCATCGTCAAATGAAGTACTGCGAGCTTTAGATACCCTGTCACAGACACTTAAAGATATTGTGGCATATGACGGCCTAGATGAGAAGCTTGCCGAATATGCCTTCTTCCCACTTTCTCAAATATTTAATGAGAGCCAACGTATTTCAGCTCAATGCGTCGAGCTAGCTATCAAATGCTTACACATCTTGATCGAAAAAGGATGGCGTTCGAAGCTCTCCCCCCAACTAGGCAAGCAGTTGCTCATTCTAATGACTCTGCTTTCAGGGGGAACTCCTACCCAGGCCCAGAGTCAGGGATCGTCGAACCCAACTAGGCCACGCTCAGAGGAGCTGATTGTTGAAGCTTTCGATTGTATCTCTTCCTTGTGCCATGTACTAAATGGACAAGAGGCAGCAACTTCTATATTCAACGAAATAGGGTCTTCTACTATTATAGACCAAACTGTCTACGTGCTCCTCGAAGGTGTTGTGGATGGAGCCTCGAACGACATCCAGAGGTCCGCTGCTGTAGCCTTGAAAGCATTGCAATCTCGTATCACGAATCGAGTGGTTCTGGCCAGTCATCTGCCTCGCACAGTCTCTTCCCTGACTAAGACCCTTCGCACCACATCCCAACAACGCCGGTCATATAAGCTTCTTTGTTTCTGTCTAGAAGCTCTCACGATGAATATCCGATTTGTCCTAAACGATTCAGTTGTTTCATCTACAAATAATGACGCACACCCAAGAGCCGAAACGAACGCACTTGTCCTTGATAAGTCGTGGCTTGATGCGACCGTATCACAGATTAAGTTGGCACTCTCAAATGTAATTCGGCTAAGGAACCATGAAAGGGACGAAGTTCGTCATTCCCTACTTAGCCTATGCACAATGGTAGTTGAGGATTGTCCAAATACCCTCGCTGACTCCTTATCGATGATGGTCGAAACCATTGTGGTCCTGGCGCATAATGATGGCGAGAAATTTTACAACGGAGCCTACACTACTTTGAAGCATCTTTTGACTTGTTCAGAAACCATCTCAAGCATTCTTAAAGCAAACTTGCATTCATGGATAGTTGCACTTCCTCGGGTTATGCAATCCGCCGACGATTCCGCGAAAGGTAGAGTCATAAGGCAGATATCTACTGCATTCGAGGTATTATCCGAGACACAAATCAAATCCGACATTCTTGATGACACGATGACAACGAGTTTGCATGATAGTATATCTGCCATAATACTGTCTTCACCTAAATCCTTGCAGGCGGTAGGGCCCCCAAGAGACCCTGGACCGGAAACCCTAAGTATTAGTGGAGAAGCCCACTCCAATATGTTCCAGCCGATAATTTTCGAACGCCAAAGCCAAAAAGAGACGCTATCTGAACTCCAAGGCATGATATCTAGGCTATCAAATGCCGATACATCGTTCAGCATGACCAGGTCTATGCTTAATAAGCTTTGCCAGTCCTCAGGCGACTCATTTGTATCGTCTTTCTGGCTAACGCTATCTTTCCTTAAAAGTGCATCCCCGGATACGCTTATGATCGATGATATGCTTAGCCTGGATCCTAGTCTTTCGTTGCCTACACGGCCTCAATTGATCGAAGAATTATACTCATTGGCTCTGCCAATTTTAACAGACTCACAAAACATTGATTCTGATGATTGGCGCACCCAAGCCCTAGCACTCGAGGCAGTTGCTTTACAGGCAGGGCAGCTTCTCGAGTCTTTTCGGCCGGAGTTAATTGACACGCTCTACCCGATTCTCCAGCTAATGGGATCTAGCAATCCTGTGCTCCAAAACCACGCAATGACTTGCCTTAACATAGTCACCGCATCATGCAATTACCCTGATGCGAGCACGATGGTAATTGACAACGTTGACTATTTGATAAATTCTGTGGCCTTGAAACTGAATACCTTCGATATTTCACCCCAAGCTCCCAGAGTCCTCCTTATGATGGTAAGGCTCTCCGGCTCTCGTTTGATACCTCATTTGGATGATATTATTGGATCCATATTTGCTGTTTTAGATGCTTTTCATGGTTATCCAAAATTGGTTGAGTTACTATTCGGTGTGTTAGGAGCTATTGTCGATGAAGGCGCGAAGAAGCCTACACATCTTGCAATAACGAATGAAGACGAGGGTGCAATATCCCATTGTAGGAGGCTACCGCCGCGGCCACGATCGACTTCAAGCGTAGCAGCTTGGTTTAAGGAAAGGCATGAAAAACGATCGAGAGAGTTGAAAATTGAAAGGAACGAACTTGAACCTCTAGAACCCCATCCAAAGAAGCCCTGGACATCTACTGCAGACACATCGGCCGATGAAGGGGACGAAATGGACATAAACTCCCAAGCCGACCAATCTGAACAGCCCCAAGAACCAGAAGAAAAGCCTCTAAGCAAACCTCATACACTATTACTAAACATCATAAAAGCCATACCACCACACCTCTCTTCCCCATCACCATTCTTACGACGATCACTTCTGTCAATACTGACACGCGGTCTCCCCATTCTATCTCAGAATGAAAAGACCTTTTTACCTCTCATCAATGACCTCTGGCCTTCCGTAAGCGCTAGAATCACATTGCCAGCCCAAGTTGGGAGAGAATCTCAATCGTTATCATCTATAAAAGAAAACAAAAGCCAACTCGATGTTTCTGGCGTACAAGAAGAGACATTCGTCACAGTTGCCTCATGTACGGCCATTGGCATAATGTGCAAGGGAGCAGGAGATTTTATCTCATCCAGAATCGAACACGAATTCCCCCGCTGGGCAAAGTTATATAAAATTTCCTGGGGCCAGGTGAGACAGGACGCTGAAAAATCAGCAGAACGGCACTGTCAGCAACTGGCGAAAAAGAAAATACAAAATGCAGAGTCGTCTGGCAGCAATGCATCTACTGGGCTGGTTAGCATAATAGATGAGTCCAGCCAGCCTTTACCCCAGTTGGCATTTACGATCACCAAATCATTTACCCGTCACGACTCGATTTGGAAAGCACTTACGACGCTATATATCACTACTTTATCACATGTTAGCCTACCCGCCGATGTTGGGGATGAAATCTGCTACTCCCTGGTAGAATGGATAACGTTTTTCCACCCAGAGTTATATTCTTCTAATACATGGCAAGGAGAAGGGGATGGCGATAGACTAGACGAAGAAGACACTGATAATGAAACCAGGTGGAGACAAGGAACCATGAAGGAGGCCAGGCGCGCTCTTCGAGCTATGAACTCCTGGAATTCAGATCTAACTTGGTTGGTGTGCACGAAAGGTATGGTGAAACATTGTCGCCAATACGGTCGAAAGCTTAGCTCCAGCTATGACCAGGAGTTGGTGTCCGGGCCCATGGTGGAGAAGATGAATCGTGAACTCAGTCGGTTGCAAGGTGATGTTGATCAAACAACCAATCAGTGGAAATTTGCAGAAATTGTGTTTTGATATACGCTACGTCTAAGCGAGTTTATCGATACGCATTTCATGATTCTGGGGCCTTGATGAGTTGTGGATGATGGAAGTAACCGAGTTAGTCTTAGGGAATAATTAAACGAGGAGTAGAATATATTATTTGCCTCAATTAAACCGAAATAATAATGCTGAGCGTAGTATCACTGATGAGAATGTCAAGTAACATACAATAAGACACACGACCAAGAAGGTTATTCTCAACTCAAGAACATGGTTCTAGTGGGGTGAGCAACAACAATTTGGGTAATCTGAAATGATAAAATGATAAAACGAGCAGAGGGGACCGAAAATCAATTTGTTAAGAGGGGAGATTTGGGCAAGTAAAAAGAACCAGTCAACCTTTTTTTTTTTTTTTTTGGTTAATTTCGAAATGATAGAGTAGGCGATTAATCCATTGGAAATTTACTCGTCTTCCTCCTCGCTTTCATCTTCGCTTTCGGCGGTCTCGAGCCATTGGAGGAACTTCTCGGCAGATTTGCGGACCTTCCTGCTGGTTGCAATGTCAACATACTTCTTGCTAGCCTTGGTTCCCCAGCTCTTGAGCAACTCCTCAGAAACCAAGTCATTTTGATAGTAAGTGAGGAGAATAGAGGACACCATGGGTAGAAGATTTGGGCGGTCCTTGCCGACGAAGCGCTCAGTGCCTCCAAGGAAGGCCTTCTCGTGGCGTTCAGAAGTAATCATCTATAAAAAAATTATTAGAACTATAAAAAGATAATATAAAAAATCATAAGTGATAGATAGATTTACCTTCTTCAAGAGGCCAGCGCGGGCTGGGATTTGCTTGACGATGTTGTCGTCGAAAAGTGTTTGGGCCAAGACAGAAAGAGTCTTGTGCTTGGACTCAATTCCGAACTCTTTAGCCTTCATGTAGATGTCAACGTCGCTAACACCAGAGGCACCCTTGTTAGACTTTTCAGCCTCCTCGATGATCCAGCTTCCAAACTGGTCGTAGGAGCTAGCCATTGCGTTTTCGCCATCATCGTCGCCGTCACCGTCGTTAAAGACGAGAGTGCGCTTCAGATCGTCGGGGAGTTCCTGAGCACGTGCGCGGACAGCGGCCTCAGAGACATCGACAGCCCATTCCTCGTCATCGATATCGTCGTTGTGCTCAATCTGCTCGGCTTCAGCCTTAATTCGACGAGTGAGCTCGTCATCACTGTGAGCATCAACACCCGTGTCACCATTCTCATCTCCCATATCAGAACCATTGCTCTCTCCTGGGCTACCGTTTGCTTCTCCATTCTCTCCGTTCTCTCCCTTTTCGGCCTTCTCCTTGTTCCTCTCTCGGCGGGATTTCTTGGTTGACTTATCCTTCTTTCCTTTCTTCGGTTGATTCTTCAAGATGAAAGAGCTCAGCTTGAGACGGGGATCGACGTCTGAGCGTTCACCACAGGCTTTGCAGTCAAGGATGATGGCCTGGTCTTTGATAACGACGTCGGTCTCTGGGTTCTTGCATTTTTTGCAGAGGACGAACTTGGCGATGAAACCGTCCAGGTAGTCCTGAAGCTTGGGGGCATCGTGAGCGCCATTGATGATCCAGCGATCATCAGTGGGTTTAGAGTTTGCCTGGGCTCCAAGTTCGAAGCCGAAGTACTTGATCAAATCTGCTGTGCATTAGTTCTGTCTGTACAGCGAATGAAAGAGTGGTGAAATGTGCGGGGACATACAGGATGGCGGGCGGCTGAGTGATTGGGCAACGCTGTTCAGGTTGACAACAACAGTTTTGATACCGTTGCCCTTGCCCTCGATCTTGGCCTGGAGACGCTCCATCTTATACCGGTAGAAAGGGTCGGAAATGTCCTAATCAGCGTTAGAGACTATGCTAAAAAAAATGGGAGGAGAACAACATACCCGACGAATGTTGATGTTGGCCATATTGCCGGTAGGATAATGTTTATACGCTTAGGCGAGTTGAGTCAAACGCGGAGAGAGGATGAACAAAGATAGGAATACTACCACACGACATGCGTAGTAATTGCAAAGGGGTAGCTGTGGTTAGAAAGAAACGATAGTATCGGGATAACTGGTCGTTTCTGATATAGGGATCGATGCTGACGGGTGACGTGGATCGGTACTTTCAACCACAGGATCTCGAATGGACACTACAAGGTTTTCGCACAGGGCGAAAAGGTTGCAGCGCGAGCGGCAGGTAGTGTTCGAAAGCGTTTTCGTAGGGCGAATACATAGACAGGTGCTCGATCCTGCTCGGTGGCTTCTCTGAGCGATGAAGAGAACCAAGAGATCTACTCTGTAGAGAAGAGCGGGACGACGTGAAGGATACCAGCAGACAGTAGGCGGGACAATCGTGTTCGAACGGGTTGCAGTACAAGACTATCGAGTGTGCGGGCTCAAGAGCTGTAAGACTGCAGTGTCGAGAGCGATGAGAGAGAGATCGAACGGTTTTTTATTTTTCGAGGGGAGAAAAAGAAGAAGATTTTGCGAGGTTATTTTTACGTTTTCCGGGAAAACCTTGTTTGAAAAAGGCTGCGGCTGAAAGAAAGTCCGGCCGGATGAGTAAGCGTCACCTGACCTGGCTTTCTTACCTCGGAACGTCGCTTTGTGAGTATCAGACGCTGCGGTTACCGGGCAAAGGTATACAAGTAGGAGTTACGGACGGTCTTGTATGATTCTAGAGTAGAGTCTCCTTCACTTCTGTGTACGGTTGTGCTGTACAAGCACATCAACTTGGGAGAGTGAGTCTGCCCAGGTCCACGGGGTAATCAGTCAGGTGGGATTCCGGTCAAGGGAACTTCCCGTCTATATTGGTAGATAACTTTTCTCAATTTCTTGCCCAGCTCCTTTATATATTTTTTATATACAATATCCCCTATCTATATCATCAAATATTGCATCATTCCCCTCTTGGATAAACCGCAAGGATGCCTGTGAATCTTTCCTTATATTTGGTCACGGACTCTACTCCGAAAATCCTTGGAGACCGAGATCTCTGCTCTGTTGTCGAACAGGCAGTCAAAGGCGGTATGGAATCAATCCGATAGTTTTATGTCTTCCATACATATCCTATTCGCCAGGTATGCTGATAAAGCCGTCCAACGGATACAGGAGTCACTATTGTTCAATACAGAGACAAACACAGTGACACGAGAGAGTTGATCGAAACAGCGGCAAAACTACATTCAATAACCCTTGATCATGGCATCCCACTTATCATCAATGATCGTGTTGATGTTGCTATTGCCGTTGGGGCTGAGGGAGTTCACTTGGGCCAGGATGACATGGGTAACGTGAATTCCTCATTTATTTTTGCTTAATCATACTAATAAGTATACTAGATATTTACGTTGCGAGGAAAATGCTTCCCAAGGGAACTATTATTGGAGTTACAGTTTCGTCAATTGAGGAGGCCCAGGCTGCAGTTGAGAGCGGCGCGGATTACCTAGGCATAGGTACCGTGCATGCCACACCGACGTATGTGTCATTTCTCAGCTCCATAACACTCGCAAATACTTGAGCCAAGCTAACGCCGGTAAATAGCAAAACTAATACAAAGTCTATCATTGGCACTGCGGGGGTTAAACACATTCTCAACCATGTTTCATCTATATCCCACAATGTTGGCACAGTGGCTATTGGAGGTATCAACCTCAACAATGCCCAGCGAGTCATCTACCAATCCCAGGGCACGACAAAGGGGCTCGATGGTGTTGCGGTAGTAAGTGCAATAATGGCCGCGGATGACCCTCAAGCAGCTGCGGCTTCATTTCTGGAAAAATTAAGCCAAAATCCTGCATTTGCTACTATTCCCATCACCCCTCGTGAAAATGAAGAGAGCCTCCTCCTCAATGGTGTCAATTCACTTGTTCGGAAAGTGGCCATTTTCAACCCCTTATGCCATAATATGATTAACTATGTTGTAGCTAACTTTGCTGCAAATGTTGCCCTTGCTATGTGAGTGTACTCATTAGCCTGCAGCTGTCGCAAATACATACTCTAACTCTTATTTCTAGTGGTGCCTCCCCAATTATGTCAGGATATGGCCTGGAAGCCCCTGATCTGGCTAAGAATAACGGTGCTTTACTTATAAACATGGGAACGTTAAATAACGAGAGCATGGACAACTATTTGCAGGCAATCCGTGCCTACAATGAAACCGGGAACCCCGTGGTCCTAGACCCCGTCGGAGCTGCTGCCACCCAACTTCGGAGACAATCCGTCAAGACGCTGATGCAAGGTGGTTACTTTGATCTCATCAAGGGTAATGAGAGTGAAATAAGTTACATATACGGCTACACCGGCGGACACCAAGTTGGCGTCGACAGCGGACCGAGTATGTTAGACAGTAAGGAAAAGGCAACATTAGTTAGAGATCTGGCCTTAAGAGAGAGTGAGTACATTCAACCGCTATTCACCGGGAAATTTCATCTATCTGAGATTGACTAATCTGAACCTACATATAGGATGCGTTGTGCTTCTCACTGGTTCCACTGACTACCTCAGCGACGGCTCGCGTACCGTTGCCATTCGTAATGGCCACCCACTTCTCGGCCAGGTTACAGGCGTAAGCTTCCTCCTAATGTAATAGATACACTCAATAATAAACTAACTGGACTTAACTACCAGACCGGCTGTGCTATTGGCACTATCACTGCTGCATTCCTTGCCGTGGAGAGGCATGACAAACTTCTCGCGGTGTTATCTGCTCTGCTCATGTTTGAAGTTGCCGCCGAACGAGCTGCAAGTAACGGTGTCAAGGGACCAGGCAGCTTCGTTCCTGCACTACTGGATGAGTTGTACTCGCTCAGAACCCAGGCCATGGGATCCAATGCTGCTCCAATGGATACCATCAAAAATGCGGCCAAATTGAATTTCATTCATCTTTAAACAAGGGGGCATAAAATAGAAATTATAGATTCTGGTTAGTTAAAAGCAGTAATTGATTCTAATCATGGATATGTATATAGAGTAATATATTTATCACTAAATGAAGGTAATATCCTTTAATTAAATCTTGCTGGCAGCGCAGAATGCTTCCAAAGCACCCTTGGTATCCTTCCCTGTCTCTTTAACTAGTCCACTAATCTCTCTAAACACCTCAATCTTAGAATCACCCATTATCTCAAACAAGATGCTCTCGCTGGTCGTCACGATAGCACCAGCGTCCCGCAGCCTGGCCAACGCTACATGTCTCTCTTCCACATTGGCACTGCTTACTCCATCGGCAATGATATACACCCGATGGCCCAACGATAGAAGATCTAGAGCGGTCTGGGTAACGCAAACGTGCGACTCGAGACCAACAATGATCGCATCAAGAGGTTTCCCGCTTGGTAGTTTCACCTTGACTTCTGGAGTTATCATGGAGAAGAGGGTTTTGTCACAGTTGATGCGCAGATTAGGGTTCGACGGCTGTATATATTCATCGAGCTCAGCGACGGTGGGGCCCAGACGAGCGGAGTTTTGCGTGGTTACATAGATCGGGATGTTGAGAGGTTTGGAAGCTCGTAGGAGTTTGAGAGACGTCGATACTCTGTGAGTCTTTCGTTAGCGGGTTATAATGATGGGATAATGGATTAACCTGGAAGACTACTCACAGTTTCGGGAATTCATATGTAATTGATCTGAACCTCTCTTGTATATCACAAATGCTAGATGGATCAGTTAGACGTCGAACGACAATACAGGTCATCGAGTAACTCTTCAGTTAGCAAAGACAGCAGCAGATAACGTACAACAATGCAGGGTTGCCTATTCACTTGTTAGGGCACTGCATACGATGGTTGATGCCTGCGGTTATCGACTCACCGATGCGGGCTGCTCTAACGTTTGCCATGGCGGTAGAGTGTATATATCGGGGCTGGATAGTAGCTGTGAATAATTTCTTCGCAAGCATTATCCGGGTGAAGATGTAGCAAAAGGAGATGGAAGAATGGCTTAGATAAAGTGATGGATGGATGTATGGATGAAGTAACCGAGGCTGAGGGGAAGTGGGGAGAAGTTGGAGATGGAGACACGCTAAGAAGTTTAGCCGTTCATCTCCAAGTCTATTAATAACATATCAAGTATATGCGGAGAGAGCTGCCACCGGTTAAGACATGATACCAGGGTGCCAATTGTAGCAGAGACACTTAAAGTAGGCCTTTTCTAGATGGATAATACTATATTTATCTTACATTCCCCCCTTAAAGATACGCTTGTCCGTCTTGCTACCTGTTCTACTACAACTTATACCTATATTACAATACTACTACTTCTATAGTTATAGTAGAAGATGTAGTGGGAGGCAAGGCCGTGAGGCCGTGAGAGGGAGGATCGCATGCCATATAATACAAAAGCAAGGAACAGACGATGTTACCGGTGTATATTCAAATATAAATAGTTATAGCCTTTAAAGCCCCCCGCTGCTAGTTCATATCAAAGCTGTTATCATCTGAGGGGAAGAAATACTAAAATGTTTGGTAGGGGAAACATACCTTCCTTATAACATGTAAACATTTACTAGCACAGATATATGTTTGTGGGTAAGACCTGGTCTGTCACCGTAGCTGGTGCTATCAGAGGTATAAGACGCAACGGTTGAGATAAGTCGGAATATGTATTTCTGCCCTTTGGCTAAAGAGGTGAGCCTGCGCGCAGTAGAAATGAATTAGTATGGGACATCGAGTTATATCTACCTATTTTAATGTTATAATCGATAACAAATAATCCGTTTTTTAAAGGGATAAGAGAAAAACAATTTACCGCTTGCTCAGAGTCGACACATTGAGCTTCTTAATCAGCTATTCGAAGTAAATGTCGCGCATATTTCGAGATTAAATGGTATGTTTGAGTTCCACAATGATAATACATTATCGAGGTATCGTTGAACCAATGTGAACCACAAGCATAGCCTTCGTCATCGACGTCGGAAGGTTCCTCGCTCACCCATGCGAGCCGGATGGGTTGTTCATGCATTGCTGGTTTGGTGGAAGATTCTGCTATCGTCCAAGACTCAATATTATACGGGGTAGATTAAGCCGGAAGGTAGGGTTATCTATCATCGAATCTCGGCGCCAGCCATTCATAGGTTATCCTACCAATACCACTTATATCAATTAGAATGGAACTTCCCTCGTTATCAATCACGATATTAGAGGGTTTAAGATTCGTATGCGTGACAACCAGTTAAGCGATGTTGGGTATATTGCGGAATTGTATAAGATTGCGTAATTCTTATAATATAACACCACTATCTCTTGAGCAGTAGAAGGGCCTATCGATTTCTTTATAGATATACCATCTTCCGTTATCGTGAAGCCTAACTCGAGAGACTAAAGGCACCGCAATGGCATATCTTCTTTTAGTTTAATACCGGATATCTATCTTATTGGTAGCGGTGAATCTCCGATTGACTGGGGATATATCGCGCGTGATATATCCTCCCGTATTGTATACCTCAATTTATCAGCAAGCTCCGCGAATCTGTTCCCGGGTGCAAGAGGGGAAATGTTTGCTTTAACGGAAGTATCCCCGACGGGAAATCGGGAGGAATAGGTTGTAGTATAGACATCAGCTCTACCTCTGTAACAGTGTCGTTAAGGAGGCGAGGAAGAGAATCATCAATATGTAAGATAAAGTCTCGAAATCAAGGCGCCTTTTAGGTCGTTCTTCTCGTCTGGCT